GGGGAAGTGGGGGTTGTGTATATATGCATTCTTGAAATACAGACTGCTGTTTGTTTATGAAATCTGATGCATAAAATGATGATACCCTTTTGGTTTAAAAGCCTAATTTAAATGAATTTCACAGCTGTCTAGTTTTAGAATCTGCCCTCTTTTTTTTCTCTTTTTTTTTCTTTTAAATCTTTTAGTACAAAAGTATATATGGAAATTTGGTCAAGAAAGCTGGCACCACTGTTATGAAAACCAAATATATTTGTGTGAAATTGTAAATGAATAAAGAACGAGCTGAAATTTTCTTTGTAATGTGAATTAAACAGTTGATAGCCATAGTTTGTTTTGTTTTTGGTTTGGTCGGGTTTACCCACCCGGTGTCCGATGCCCGTATTGGAGCCCAACTATATTCGGATTCGCGCATAAGGCCCATTCAAGGGGGAAATGCTCCCTAACATGATTTTTTCCGTATCCACGGGACTGGACTCGAACCCGAGACCTCTGGTATCTATCCCACCACAGCCCATGTCGGTAGTTGAAGCCATAGTTGAATGAGTAGAAAAGTGGAATAATTATTTTATTATCTAAAAGAAGTTAACGTACTAGTACTATTCTTGTATTTTCTTATTCCTAGTTCTTTATTATTACATGTTGTGTTATTCACTTTAGTTACCCTATTACATGTTGTGTCAAGCGTAACCCCACTTATGAGATTACACTGGGTTTGTTGTTGTTGTTGTAAAGAAGTAAACCAGATAATAACTTGTATCTTTTATTTGGTTGAAGAAGTTTAATGCACTAGTGCAAAATAAGTTGGAGGTATATTTCTGAGCCTATTTCGGAAGAAATGCTCCTCCCTTCCTAAAAATTATATGTTCATAACAATAAGGGAAACTTTTGAAACCCGTGAAATCTCTTTATTTTGAATTATTCAATCTAAGTACTTATCTTCTCAAATTTGACATGTCCGTTTTTTAATTTCCATTCACTTTAAGCTTACTTACCGAGGATAGAGGAACTGACCCCAACTAATTTAGAATTGAGGCATAGTTGATTGATTGATTAAGATTATCTAGCACTAACAAGAAGTAGTCTCTGTCTGCTTTCTTTATTTACTTTTTATTACAGTGAGGAAAACGTCTACCTGCTATGCAAAAAGCTATGTGATGATGGGCTGGCAAATACCAACGGTTCTGATCTGTTTATTATTTTCATTTCCAATGAGAAGAAGCAGGTAACTACTCTTTGCTCTTCCTTTGGTTACTCATTACTCTCTTAAGAAGTTCATGCACTTCGCTGATACTTCATTTCAGTGAAAATGATGCTCGTATAAGATGTTTTTCGCAACTAGTCAGGGTAATGTTTTCCGTTATACTAGCGAATAGTTTACTGGATAACAAAATGATATTAATTGCAAGTCTTTGTTTGCAAATGGAAGAGACTAATTGTTTATAACATTAGATGAACTTGGTCTTTTTGCTTACCATTTGACGATTCCTTGTTATGTATTACTCCGTTCAATTTTTCTCTCTATCACCAATTTCAACAAAGTAATAGGATGAAAGGAACTTCATGTATACACATATCTGAAAATGTTCCAGGGCACTTAAATGAGTTAACCAAACCTGGTGGCTCGGTTGATTGGCACCACGGGCCTAAACGACGAGCAAACACTCGAACGTACTATAAGCGTGTCATCAAGTTAGGTTAGGCCAACCTCGGAACTAGATGCTGCTGCAGAATAAACCAATTTCAAAATGAATAAATATGACTTAAACATTCTAGTATTTTGTTGCCTTCCATCTTAGTTGTTTTAATAAAGGAGAGACGAGAATGGATGACAATTAAGTTGTTCCTATGCTATGGCCATGTTTAGTAATTTAAAGATATGCGTTCAGATTCCTCTGTGGCATCAGAAGGCTAGCCAGCGAGCAGAGGGAGTTATTTTGTGGGACTATCACGTCATTTGTGTACAGGTCAGATTAACCTACTTCGTTCTAGTGTAAGCTGTATAGCTATTAGGGAGTTCATGTCCTTAAGATATCTGGTTGCAATGCTAATGCAGAAAAAGGGAAATGAGAACTCTTCATCGCTAGTGTGGGATTTAGATTCAAGCCTTCCGATTCCATCTTCTCTTGGCTCCTATGTTGCTGAGAGCATTCGTCCATCAATTCAAATATTTTCAGAATTCAAAAGGTAGTAACTTTTCTAGTCCCAAGACGAAACATGACTTCATTGAATACATCGATAAAGCTACATATCACTAGAATTTTTGTTCTTAAATGAGGAAGAACTGTTATTTCATTCTCTTCCGTAAAAGCTAGATGTTTCATATGTGCTCAAATCTAGAATTCTTAAACTTGTGATGCAAAAGTAGTTGTTCTGCCTTTATGTGTGTTATTCTCCATTCCCGCCTGACGTCATCCCGACCTTAAAATGTTTCTAACTTTCCTTCACACTACATGTTGAACATTTAAGCTCTACATAGTGAATCTCATTTTCTATTTATCTTTAAGAAATTAGCTTTATTTGTAGTCGATCCTATACTGGTGTTCTCATGAAATAAATAATGCTCCTTTATTGACCTTTCTCTGAAGAAACAATTCTTCTGGTGATCGTGCATGGAGTAATAAGCTAACTGCAACCACATGAACCAAATTTGGCAGGTTCTTTCGAGTTGTGCATGCCCCTATATTTCTCCGACACTTTGCATCTGATAGAAGACATATGAAGGATTCTGCTGGAAATTGGATTGCCGAACCGCCATTGCACGAAGCTATTGTTGCTGAAGGTAAATACAGGAAATTAAAGTTTACAAAATTATGCTTTTGCCATTTGTTGGTAAATGTTGCCTGCGGGTAACTTCATTTAATGAATGAAAGGACGTCTAGGTTAAATAATTGTTGCTCTCTTAAATCGGGCACTTATTAAAGTTTCATAGCCTGCATGTTCCTTAAGGCACCTAAACTCTGGTTATCTATGCATTATAACATGCATCTTGGTGACACAATGCTCGCTTTAAATCAATTTACATCTTACAGTGAAAAAAGTGGAATTTATTTAATGCGTTCTGCATTTATCAAAATACTCTGGCCATTTTGAAATTCTTAGAACTTCAAGGAACTTTGGTGATTTCTCAAAACATACCTTTCAGTGAACCTAATCGTGGATCACCTTTTGAATTATATAATTGAAACCCTCAAAGTTTAGTGCTTTTCTTTTCGTCTCTCATGAGCCGATGGTCTATCGAAAACAACCTCTCTACCTTCAAGGTAAGGGTAACGTCTGCTTACACACTACCCTCCCCAACCCCACTTGTGAGATTACTCTTGTTTGTTGTTGTTGTTAAATCCTCAAAGTTTAGCTTCTCGAGTGTACCTGAATATGTTCTGTATAAAAGTTCATTTAGGATCTATTGTTTCCTAATAACTTACACATTGGAAACTTTAAGTAAGTCTAAACATCATTGTTTCTGGAAGAAGATTCATATTAAAACATATCAGAGCTATGATAAAAGGGGCAGCCCGGTGCACTAAGCTCCCGATGTGCGCGGGGTCCGGAGAAGGGCCGGACCATAAGGGTCTATTATACGCAGCCTTACCCTGCATTTCTGCAAGAAGCTGTTTTCACGGCTCGAACCTTATCAGAGCTATGATAATTGAACCTTAATTGACGAAACAACTTTATCTTCACGTTTTGGCTCAGTAAGGTGTAAAATAAGTCGCTACGACTATGGTTGTTTACTGTTAACTCGGTGGGCAAAGTAGTCACTTCAAACACGGGAGTGTACTTCTCCATTCTGATTTTAAGTTTATTCTGATCTTTGGTAGATAAACATAACTTTGTTCCCTCGATATAATTTTTAACTCAGAAATACTCAAATGCTTCCTCTAATTCGATTGTTCTCTTTTTCACTTTTGGTCATTATCTACGTAATAAACCTCAATAAGGAATTACCGTTTTGCTTGACAGTCAATTAATTTGCTCCACTTAATCTTTTGGCTTGCTACACTCGACCAAATTTGGAGGTGGAAATATTGCATTAAAATTTGAAATACGTTACTGTATCCCACATCAAAATAACTAGCAGTTTGAACCAATACATTTGAGCTTCAAGTATTTGTTCATTGTTAAATAGGGAAAACACATTTACATTACCTATAAATCTGATAGGTAGCTCATGTGTTTTAGGGTCATTTGGTGCATTTAGTGAGAAAACGTGGTGACCTCTCGTTTATTTGAGCTATTGTTGCTAATTTTGTTCTACATTTTGCTTGTACAGATGGAACCATACACAACCTGAACGAGTACATTACAGTCTCTCCAGACGATGTTGTGAAAAATGTCGGAGCTGATAATGTCAATGTTGTTTTCTCCGAGAAACATGGCGTTGTAGTTGGTGAAAATGATTTAATGGAATTTTTCTCTTTGATTCCTGATGAGAGTTGAATAATGTACTAGCTGAGAGTTGAGTTCATGCTCTAGGATGTTTACATTTGTAAAGAAACAGAAAAAAGAAGTGTCTTGTGGAAATTTTGCAAATAGAGGCTGGTGTGGGCCGAGTGTCTTTCGGAAACGGCATCTCTACTCCCTTGGGGTAGGAGTAAGGTCTGCATACTAACTACCCTCCCCGGACCCCACTTGTGGGATTTCACTGGGTTGTTGTTGTAGAGGCTGGTGTGGGCCGAGGGTCTTTCGGAAACAACCTCTCTACTCCCTCGGGGTAGGGGTAAGGTCTGCGTACTCATTACCCTCCCCAAACCCCACTTGTGAGATTTCACTGGGTTGTTGTTGTAGAGGTTGGTGTGGATTCCTCTCGAGGTGAGGGTCTTTCGGAAGGTCTGCGTACACATTACCTTCCCCAGATCTCACTTGTTGGATTCCACTGGGTTATTGTTGTTGTTAGGCTCGTGTGGATCATCTATCTTACCTGATAAAAAAAAAAAAAAAAGGTTGGTGTGCATGAATTCTTGNAAAAAAAAAAAAAAGAGGTTGGTGTGCATGAATTCTTGTTTTACCAAGTCTTTTGGGGGTGATGTTTTATTTTGTAGAACTTGTGTAGACATTTTCTGGTGTTTGTGAACATGGTTGAAGGAGGCATACCATATTGTGCAGTGATTTCTTCAAAATACTACATTCACATGACTTATTAGCAATTTCTTAGCAACATTTCTATTTTTTTTTTATTAACGATGATGTCTGATCCAACTTGCACGCACCTCAACTATTCTACTGGATATCTACTTTCTTCCAGCAACACAAGTATCAGGTAACTTTGATCACTTAGGCTTAGACTGGCCAAAAGAAACCACTTAGTGTTTTCTGTTTTCGCTATGTTGAACCTTGGTCTCCAATGTTTGCACTATTTCTTTGCTACATTTTTCCCCTTCTCATTGTGTTCTTGAATGGGAGTTCGAATATTCAAGAGACAAGTACTTCTACCTTAATCACTATAAATTCTAAGAATACCTTAATCTCAGTCATTCTTTGTTAAATTTCATATCAACTCAAATAATGCCATATAAAATGAACTCGAAAAGCACCATATAAAATGAAACAGATGAAGTATACAATAGTAGAGTTTATAATCAATACTATTATTACCACCAGGCATAAGTGGTTTATTGAGTTTATAATCAATACTATTATTACCATCAGCCATAAGTGGTTTATTTTCTTGAATCCTATGGGCCAAATTATGCTCCTATTAATTGTGGAGAAAATGTGGGAAATTTCCTCTTCATTGTGAGATAAGTGGTAATAATTGATTCAAAAGTCTCTATCAATGCTGTATTGTATTTCTTTTCCATCATGAGTTGGCATAATTTCTTTTACATAATTATGGACACATTAGCTACTAATTTTATCCTTTAAAATATAATTTTTTTTACACTAATATTATAGTTTAACTTGTAATAGCTGATTATTTATTATTTTACTTGGGGATCTAAGTTTTATGCACTGTGACAATGTAAAGATCTTGTCATTATCCCCTTATTTTAACATGTTATATTAATTGTACCAAGCTACCAATTATAATACTTATCATATAGATTTATATGTAATTATTTTATAAATGACCTAAATATATAAATATTTTTTAAATCATCAATATTTAAAACTTAACTCTTTACAGATTACCAAGTAATGCTTCTCTCTCTATATATATATTGCAGTACACATTTCTTAGCCTCATAACAAAAAGCAACGTTACTCGTTTGGCATATTTGCCTCAACACACAATTCCAAAATGTGAAATTGTACAAGTGTAATAACTTTTTTTTATTTTATACAAGTTCCAACTCCATTTATTTTGTCTTTTTTTTTTATTAAAAAAAAAAAAAAAAAAAAAAAAAAAAAAAAAAAACCTTGCTTGGTAGTTTACCTGGCAGAAGAATAAGATACCTGGACCCATTGAGGTTCACACATAAAATATCATTTCCTTTTCACTGAGAGTCACAAACTCAAAAAAATCAGAATTTTTACAAACAAAAAGAAACTAAATGACTAACAAAAAATAAAAAAAATAAAAAAAATCTCCCCTATTTTTTCTCTCATCATAATCCACGCTCCACACTCCCTCTTCTCTCTCTGCCCATTCCTTTATTTTAGGAAATCTATACTCACCAATAGAAACTCAAGAATCATCATCAAACATGACCCCAATCAGATAGAAAATACAACAAAGAAGAACAAAATCTCATTTTCCTACCTCATAAATTTTACTGCCAACTTTTTGATACATACCCTTCTTGCCACGTGTCCCTTTGTCTCACCACTAACTTAAACCCCTCAAATAAAATAAAAACAGCTATATTTTCACTCAAATTTCTTAACTTCCATAACAGCCACTACTCTCCACATAAAACTATAAACTTAGAACATTTCACTTGAAAAAAGAGAGGAAAAAAGTGAAGCAGAAATCTTTTCTCAAAACACAATCTATAGGAAGTTAAATTCAACTTCCACACTTCCAAGATTCTTGTTTCAAGTTTCGTTTAGTTTTTTTTTCTTGGTTTTTTTATAGTTTTCTGTACAATTTGTGTAGAATCAAGAAACGAAAGAGTTAAAGTTTGAAACTTTTTTACAAGTTTGAAACAATGGCTTCTTTGGTTTCTTCACCATTTACATTGCCAAATTCAAAAGTAGAACACTTGTCATCCATTTCTCAAAAGCATTACTTTCTTCACTCATTTCTTCCCAAGAAAATAAACCCCACTTACTCAAAATCACCAAAGAAATTCCAATGTAATGCTATTGGCAATGGTTTATTCACTCAAACAACTCAAGAAGTTAGGAGAATTGTGCCTGAAAATACTCAGGGACTTGCTACTGTGAAAATAGTCTATGTTGTATTGGAAGCTCAGTACCAATCATCACTTACTGCTGCTGTTCAGACACTGAACAAGAATGGTCAGTTTGCTTCTTTTGAGGTTGTGGGGTACTTGGTTGAGGAGCTTAGAGATGAGAATACTTATAAAATGTTTTGTAAAGATCTTGAGGATGCAAATGTGTTTATTGGTTCATTGATTTTTGTGGAAGAATTGGCTTTAAAGGTAAAATCTGCAGTGGAGAAAGAAAGGGACAGACTTGATGCAGTTTTGGTGTTTCCATCAATGCCTGAGGTGATGAGGTTGAACAAGTTGGGATCTTTTAGTATGTCACAATTGGGGCAATCAAAGAGTCCATTTTTTGAGCTTTTCAAGAAGAAGAAACCTTCTTCTGCAGGTTTTTCTGATCAGATGTTGAAGCTTGTGAGAACATTGCCTAAGGTTTTGAAGTATTTACCAAGTGATAAAGCTCAAGATGCTAGGTTGTACATACTAAGTTTGCAGTTTTGGCTAGGAGGTTCACCTGATAATTTGGTGAATTTCTTGAAAATGATTTCTGGTTCTTATGTTCCTGCTCTTAAAGGGATGAAAATCGACTACTCGGATCCGGTTTTGTACTTGGATAATGGAATTTGGCACCCTTTGGCTCCTTGTATGTATGATGATGTGAAGGAGTATTTGAATTGGTATGCAACAAGGAGAGATACTAATGAGAAACTCAAGAGTTCAAATGCTCCTGTTGTTGGGCTGGTTTTGCAAAGGAGTCATATTGTTACTGGTGATGAGAGTCACTATGTGGCTGTGATCATGGAATTGGAGGCAAAAGGGGCTAAAGTTATCCCAATTTTCGCCGGTGGGCTAGACTTTTCGGGGCCAGTTGAGAGATATTTCATTGATCCTATTACAAAGAAGCCTTTTGTGAATTCAGTAATATCACTTACTGGTTTTGCACTTGTTGGAGGGCCAGCAAGACAAGACCATCCAAGGGCAATAGAGGCTTTGATGAAACTTGATGTGCCTTATATTGTGGCATTGCCTTTGGTTTTCCAAACAACAGAGGAATGGTTGAACAGTACTTTGGGGCTGCACCCTATTCAGGTGGCTCTACAAGTTGCTCTCCCTGAGCTGGATGGAGGAATGGAGCCCATCGTATTCGCCGGTCGCGATCCAAGAACAGGCAAGTATCTTTTTACTTCTTTGTTCTTTCCCTTAGCAATGTTGATTTCCATTTTTACTAGATATGAAATGCAAAAGTATGTTTAGTTTGATTAGTTTTCCTTTCATTACTTGAAATATGCAGGGAAATCACATGCTCTTCACAAAAGAGTGGAGCAGCTTTGCACCAGGGCAATCAAATGGGGAGAGTTAAAGAGAAAAACAAAGGTATGTGTGCTGAAATATTGGTTCTTGCCCCTAGCCTATTGTAGTAGTCTATTCATATTGGTTCTATTCATATTGTTTCAGATTTAAAGATAAGATTTGTTTAGTGGTTTTAAGGTAATACATTGGCTAATAGAAATAATGAAACACCTCAGAAAGGTGCTTAGACCAAGGGTAAATTTCACAAATGGTCATATAACTTAGTTATTTCAATGACAATTGATTTGATATGAGAAAGTGTAATTAACATTGTCAATTGCTTGCAAATACTTGACAATGTCAAGTTGTCTTAGAGCAACGGTCCAGTTGTCTCCGTGTGACATATAGGTCACGGGTTTGAGCCGTGGAATCAGTCATTGATGCTTGCAATAGGGTAGGCCCCTTGGGGTGCGGCCCTTCCCCGGACCCTACGGGATGCTTTGTGCACTGGGCTGCCTAATTACTTGCAAATACTGATTAACATGAACCAATTTCTTTGAGTAAGTGGAAAATTAATATGAACCATTGATAGAACTCTCTTATCTGTCACTTAGAAATACTATTTGATGTAGACATGTTTAAGAGTTCCCTTCTTCTATTGTTTCAACTTTGATCACTTTCATTAGGACTTCAGCAAATCTCATGGATTCTGAAATGACTGTTTTGATATTTTATCATGATCACAAGTTGCAAATTAGGATGAAATTCTCGATACGCAACCAGAATTTTTCGATTTTCCTGTTTAGGGTCAGAATTGTACAATTTCTCTATCTTGCAATGGTCATAGACCAAAGGGACAACAATATTGAAACTTGGAGACCTGTGGTTCCCTTTTCATAATTCTCCCTAAATGTGTATTATGATCTTTATTAGCTAGAATTAGAAGGGGAGCCTTGGCGTAACTGGTAAAGTTGTTGCCATGTGACCAGGAGATCACGGGTTTGAGCCGTGGAAACAGCCTCTTGCAAAAATGCAGGGTAAGGCTACGTACAATAGACCCTTGTGGTCCAGCCCTTCCCCGAGCCCCGCGCATAGCGGGAGGTTAGTGCACCGGACTGCCCTTTTATTAGCTAGAATTATTCGGTGGATTTATTAATCTAATTATGTTGCATTATAACAATGGTCAAATTATTTTCTGCTACTGATGCTCAATGTGTAACTAAACAATGTGCAGGCTGAGAAGAGGTTGGCAATCACTGTCTTCAGCTTTCCTCCAGACAAAGGCAATGTCGGAACTGCTGCATACTTGAATGTCTTTGCCTCCATATACTCTGTTCTCAAAGATCTCAAGAAAGACGGCTACAACGTTGAGGGGCTGCCTGAGACTTCTGCACAACTTATTGAAGAAGTAATTCACGACAAAGAAGCTCAGTTCAGCAGCCCAAATCTTAACATAGCTTACAAGATGAATGTTAGAGAATACC